CTGGAGGGAAAAAGGTGATGGCAACCCTGGGGGTATCAGGGCTGATGTAGCACCACCCAAGGAGAAGCCAAGGTTGGGGCACGAGGGGTGGCTGCAAAGAAGGAAAGGAACTTGGTCAGGAAGGGAGGACACGGGAGGGTCATTAAGTAAGACCTGACAATGACTGGCTTTCAGAAGGGAAACAAGAGAATAGAAGCAGCATCAGGTGCCTGGGGAGAAGGCAGGTTTGGGGGAGCTGAGAGGGGAAGGAGGAGGAATGGAGGCAGAGAGCATGGTGATGGTGTTGTGCCAGCTCCTACGCACACACCCTGGGACAGAGAAACGTGGTTCTGGGGCATCACGGGCACGCTCCTGCTCCAAGGCAGCCAAGACATTGCCAGCTCCACAGGAATTCACCTCCCCACCCTGTCACCCTGCATGGGGAACACTGCACAGCTTGAGGGACACTCCAAGGCAATTTATTCAACTGTTCCCAGTTGATCTGAACAGGACCGGAGGATTGCAACAAAGAGGTTAGCTGGGGAATCCTGTTACTTATCAGCTGTGTTCATATGGAGCTGTAAAACAGGGGAGTATGAATTTGTGCTAAAGAATTCAACATTAGAAATAAAAACAGGTACTGACACATTGCTTGCTACTCATTCTCTAACGTCATCACCATAACTGAACCACCAGGGAATGAGCAATGACATGGAAAGCAACATTTCAAATCGAGAAAAAGAAATACTTCTGAAAACAGCAAGTGAATTCCAAACCTGAAACCCCCTCAAAAAGCTTCCACACACACTCATGAAAAAGATCTGCACAAAAGACAGAACTGCTTTGTTTGTAACACGCTGCCATAGGGTTCTGCAGAGATCAAAATGGGATTTGCTCAGGGAAGTGGGCCACAGTGGTGGCTTTAGGAACAAGGGTCACGTATAGCCCCTGGCTCCTGAACTGGTGGTTGCTGGAAGCAAGGACAGTGTGGGAAGTGGAGGACTGCTCTTGATTGTTGGCCTGACTGGCTGGGATGGGCTTAATGTGGCCTTAAAGCCAGTAAGAAAGGAGTTTATGCCAATAGGTAAAGAGAACCTAACTGTGTGAAAAAGTGGTTTCATACTGGTAGATGTGACCCCTTCCCGTGAGGCACCACACAGGCTGATGGCATGGGCAGGATGCTGAACTCATTCCAGCTGCTATGCCAGTTTTCTTCCAAATCCTTTAATACACAGAACAAGTGAACTGGCTGTTTGAAGGCCAATATACACCAACTGGAGAACAGGCTGTCAACAGGGTGCTGTGGTGGGGGCTAGTGGTACACCCATGGAGAAAGTGGAATCAATGAGTCTTTACCGTTACACAAAGAGCTCTGACATTGGCTTCAACTACAGCTGAAGAGCACCTGCAGCATTGCTGAAAGTCAGCATTCCCTGTTAGAAGAACATCTTCAGATCATCTGTTGCTGTTTATCTTTGTTTGGGGGTCAAATAAAGCACTTAGAGAACATAACCAGGACATGCTGAGGTAAAGAGGAAATGCAGATAACAGAGGTCACCCTCTCAGTAACATCCAGGTATCTCACGTTCACTTTAATTCTTCCTCTCTCAGAACAAGCTTTTATCTTTGGGAGTTGTGTTCAGAGTTTTCTTAATACTTTGAAAGAGTTTATCCTTAACAGGCAACCAGGTTCCCTTCCTCATCTTAGAGGCTGATGCACAAGGATGGAGAAATCAGAGGTTCAGTAGGATGATATTTAATTTCTCTGTGCATTTCCTATAGAAAACCAGATGGGATAGAGGTAAATTGATCATGGTTTTTCTGTTTGTACATAATATGCCAAACCATTGACCTCTTTAGAAAAGGTGCCCTTTATTCCCACCTGGCAAAGCTACTCTCTGCAACTGCTTGTAAACCAACACTCCTGTGAAAGGCCCGAATTCAGCCTTTGCAATAAGAAATCAGTGTTAGTGAAGTACCACTGCCAGCCAAAGCCTTTGCTAGTGCCTGTACAGTTTAATCAAGGAAATACAGTACAACTGGGTGAATTTAGTACTAAATCTGGCTCTGGCTTAGCCCAGATAAACAGGCAATGTTTGTAGAATTTCAAGGGGCAGCATGTGAGTGACTGGCCTGTCTCGGACTAGGGAGCAGCAGGGCTGTTTCCAATGTAATCAGCTGCAGCTTGTCAGACTGCCTTTAGAGAGACAAGCTATGGAGGTTGTTGGCCTGTCATCATGTCCCAGCATAGATGTGAAGTCACTGGAATGGATCAGCAGATCAGAAGCCTACTGACTGAAGTGGCTGTGTCACCTTTTGTGGAAATGGGTCTGTGTGTGCTCAGCAATTGGACAGGCACATCCTCGAGCACGACTTACCTCTACCAGCACAAGTACTGGAACACAGAAAAACCTGCCCCTTCCCAAAGATCTCAAGCAACTGTCCCATCTTCAGGACAGTTGTTTAGTTCAGGGTCTAGAATCTGCTAAAACACACTCTAAAACCTGGAAGTATTTCTGTTTTTTTTCCTTAAGCCCAGATCAAGTGGCTTTGCAGCGTGACATGTTTATACATGTGGTTTTAATGGGTTACACTATTAGCTAAAATAAAGGCGAGGTGCTGGCACTGCTCTTGCACAAAGGGCTGATCCTCCTCCTCACAGCTGGGATGAAAACTCAGTAATGTATTATTTGCATAACAGAGCAGGGCATTCATTCAGCTCATTCAGAGACAGCCATTAGCTGGTACTTCAAGGAAACTGAGCCTCTGCCTTCCAAAGGGTTACAGGTACTGCAAGTTAAGAAAAATTCTCCTGTGCTGCTGGGCTACCAACAACTGGCCTCTACAATTTCACACACACTGTACAGAAACTGCCTCCTTACTGCAACAAGAAAACAGTTGGAGACATCAGTCTTGCTCCTTACAGCAAGTGCTGTAAGTCACGCAGAGAACCACTGCCACTTTTCTGATAATGATGCCATAAACATGGACTAATATGAATGAAAATTAGAGATAAGCTGCAACTTACCTGTCAATAGCTATCTGAACAGTGCTTGCAGACTGAAATTACTTTAGTCTGCTTTTATGATCGATTTTTGTTATCTAACCATAATACTAGGCTAAAACTGAGAAAACTCTTTCCATTTGAATTGTGTGACCAAGAGTGTTTAAATTCAGTTCAGCAATTTTCAAAACAACAAAAGTGATGGCCTTCAAAAATACCCTTTAGCATGGCAAATGTCAGCAAATCTTAATCTGTATTTCCTGCTCTCAGCAGAGGAGGGTCCCACAGCCAGATACACTGATGCAGTGAGCAGCAAGCAGGAGGCTGAAGCTTGGGAGGCTCGTTGAGAGTGGAGCTACCTGCCTGGGAACACAGGTAAGCCAGGACTGGACATACCTTTTCAAGTAAGTAGACACGTAGGTAGTAGGTGCACCAGAATGAGGAGCTTCGTTTCCCTTTGGCTCATCCCTCCACGGCTGCCGGGTGTAGGAGCCGCTCCGCACCAGGTTCACAGCTGATTCCCTGATGCAGGACAGAGCACAGGGGTTATTCAGAAAAACTCCTGGCATCTGTTTCTGGCTCCTTTCCAGTTCCACAACACAAAAATCCTTCCCTTACACCTCTGTTGTGACACAACTCCCTGAAACGGCCCTTCTGGCCTTACCAGCTTCAGGTGTATTGTGTAAGAATCACTTTTGCATCAAGAGGGACAAGATCCTTTTTAGACAGAAAACTTGCAACTGAAATTTAGATTGTCCATAAAGATAATATAACATATTAAATAATGTCATTTATATTCTCTCTGCCATCTTACATCAAGCAGCATTGCAGAAATACACAGACACTCCAGCTGCAGGGGAAGCTTTTATCTCCAAGGTGTCCAGGCAGTGACAGTAAAGCAATTCAGCCTGGCAAATCCTTTGCTGTACTTAGCAGCAGCAAACAACAAACAAAATGTTTGGCAATGTCTAAAACTACTGGAGAAGTTATCAATAAATTGCTAATAGTCCTGTTTATCACAGTTATCTGAAATCAGGGCTCCTTTTCCTAAGATACAGTTGGGCAGTATGTCCTTTTCTGGTCTTGGACAGGACCTTGAGCTTGCAATGCAACACAAATCCATTCGCTCAGCCTTCAGCTGGTTTGAATTTTTCAACTGCTGATGCCCTTTCAGACACCTGTGGGACCTGTGAATTGAAACTCAGCTGCTCTGAAAAGAAAGAATATTGGGAGAAATCTGTACTACACAGCAGGCCTGGGCACCATCTGTTCATGCAGCGGATTCTCCTCATTCC